AACATCAATTGATGCCATCATTACCACGCCCAACTTACTTTCCTTATGTGGATAAGTTATGCGTGAGAAGTTTCCTTCAGTGGTGTTTGGACAGGAGTGGAACATAGACAAGGGACAAATGTTTACGGCAGGGTATGCAACTGCATTAATATTCCATTTCGTTCCCCATAACCTTCTTGCCTCAACCCCACCCCCCTCTCCAACCCACAAACTTCAAAAACTGCTGGTTTAGGTTTGGGTGACAAGAAAAGGTCCCTTGGAAGCCTACAACTTGACAGAAAAAGGAGCTGGAAGATATTCTTATTTCTGTGCTGCTGTAGTTGGAAAGGGGGAGAGTGCGCTTCGGGCGAGACTCTCCACACCTAATGGTGGTTCATCTGTGCTCTCTGGGGTTGGACGCGGCTATGAGATGGATCCCTGTGTTTGAGGGCGAGTGTACAGTGAAGAACTTGTCCTAGCTTTGCTGCCGTCGAGCTTCACACCTTCTCAACACCCCTCCCCCCTAGCTACGCGAACCTCTTTGTTCTGAAGCTTCGCTCTACCCAGACTGTTTTGAAGGGCCCTAATGAAGTCGAGAGGGCGCTGTATGTGTTTCTGTGTCCGCTCCCCTTACCTCAAGTCTTGGTACCGGAGTCAAAATAAAGACTGCCTTCGCAGAAACCGAGTATTTGGCACAAAATTAAAGCCTCAGTTCGGTGAAGAAACACAGGGACGTTGCGGAGGCCTCCTTCGCCCCTCCCCCTCACCTACTCTGACGCCCTTCAAGGTGGACTTTGTATTAATTTTGACCATTTTTTCTTCCAGCCGCCCACAGACTGCGAGGAATGTGGCAAACGATTTGCGTCAGCCTTTCAGCTACGAGAGCACATCTCTATTCAACATCTGTGAGCCAACCTTACCAGTATTTGTTATTTGAAATTTACTCTTTCTTTATTTGTTTACCTGGGAGTAAACTAAAAGATAAATCACCTAAATCTGGCTCGCTTCAGAAAAGAGCGTAACTTCGTATGTGAAGAATGTGGTCAGAAATTTGGTCGAAGAGGAGGTGAGTACAAATATCGTAGTCCTTCGATGATGATTACTCAGCAGAAATTCTGTTTGCAGGACTGAGACGTCATGTTCAAATGGTCCACCAAAATCATCTTCACATGTGCCCATACGAAGGATGCGACCATCCTGGTTACAAATGTAGTAAGGTAAGTTCGCCGTACTGGTTTCATTTCCTCCTTTACCAGTTATTAGCAGTCATTTTTTGTAGTTTGGAGCGATATTTCGGTTACTTATCAAGATATTTATATCGTTTCTGGCGCTAAAAACTTTGGGAACGACATTAAAGGATCCTTTTGCAAAAGTAGAACTAGCTTAGTGGTGACTTGTTCTCAAGCCTTGAATGAGTGAATCAGTGACAAGTTCCTTGATGGTTAAACCAGTTTCACGACGGTATTTTCATTCGGATGTCAACGAACGCCACGTTATTACATAAGGCAGCGTTTATACCATTTTCACTTTAAATTCACCACTTTTCAAACCAAATTCACCACTTTTCAAACCAAATTCACCACTTTTCAAACCAAATTCACCACTCTTCTTAGACCAGGCAGTTCGCCAACCAAATCACGCCAGACACCACCGCGAACCCTGCCCCGACGGTCACGCCTACTTGTCAGCGCGGACATATTTTCAACACATGGCCGACTCCGCCCAGTCTTTAAAGGGTTTGTTGCGAACTTCGAAATTTCATAACTTTTTCAACTTTTTAATTTCACATCCACTCTTTGCACAACGAAGGTACTCGTAGACGCGCATTCATGCACCGGCAATTTAGGCTCCGCCCCTTTGGCCACGCCCACTTGCTGTTTGCGGAATTATATTTTTTTCAAAATTTTGCATTTTTGGACTGCTCCATGAAGCCCCGCCCACTATGAGAGGCTCCGCCCACTTTTCAAAAATGGTGCAAATCGGCAGTATAGAGCCATGGCTTGCATGGCAAGGGTCATATAGGAACAAACTTTGCCTGATTTATTTGTTGCGAGTGACGGACGAGACAATAACATGCAAGCCAAGGCTCTATACAGCCAATTGGCACCATTTTTGAAAAGTTGGCGGGGCTTCTTTCGAAGTGGGCAGAGCCACTAATGGTGGGCAGGGCTCCATGCGTGGCAGGCCACAAATGCAAAACTTTGAAAAAATATCATAGTTCCGCAAACAGCAGGTGGGCGTGGCTAAAGGGGCGGAGCCTAAATTGCCGGTGCATGGAGCGTCTACGAGTACCTTCGTTGTGTAAGGAGTGGATGTGAAATTAAGAAGTTGAAAAAGTTATGAAAATTTCGAAGTTCGCAACAAACCCTTTAAAGACTGGGTGGAGTCGGCTATGTGTTGAAAATCTATGTCCGCGCTGACGAGTGGGCGTGACCGTCGAGGCAGGCTTCACTGTGGTGTGTGGCACGATTTGGTTGGCGAACTGCCTATTTTGAGAAGAATGGTAAATCTGGTTTGAAAAGTGGCTGAATTTGCTTTGAAAAGTGGTGAATTTGCTTTGAAAAGTGGTGAATTTGCTTTGAAAAGTGGTGAATTTGGTTTGAAAAGTGGTGAATTTGGTTTGAAAAGTGGTGAATTCAAAGTGAAATTGGTATAAACTTCGCGACGGTAGCGCTCCGGTCGTGCGTTAGACGCGATCGATGCGCATTCTTTTGACTGCGTCTATCACGTCGAACGCGCGCGGCCGAAGCAGGCTGCCATTAGGCGAAGTATGAACGCTACAAAGAGTTTTTTAAGCCCCCAAGCTTATTAGCGCCTCGTTTTTTTAGATCAGTAGCCTCAAGGCACATCCAGCGCTGATCGTATGGCGGATTGTAGGCGGAACCCCCATACCTCAGTAGATGCGCCCTAGCTCTTCAACGGCCTAACGAGTGATTTATGCCTAGTCGTGCCGCTCATTCAGCGTTGTTTGCGGAATATGTCTCTAAATTGCGCTAGGAATTTTGTACTATTATGGTCCCTACAAACGACAGGGGTAGTGAACGGCATGAATCGGAGCGCGATCAGGTCACGATTCTATCAGTTCTTGCGGGCCCAGGATGACATTATTGGTGAGAAAATGGCACTGGCTGCGCTCCAATTCACGCCCCATCATGTGTGCCTCATCATTTGCAGAGATCATGACTGTAGGTTTTATAAGGAAGTGACGAGAAGCTCTGGGATGCTTCTCCACTTACCCTCCCTTTCTGGTTTTTTGATTCATCACCTTTTTCTTTCTCACCCACTTCCCCCATTTTGCCTAAAGAGTCGGCCATCTCATCTCATCCCCCACGCTCCATGAAGCTGAGTGGAGAATGTTGTGTCGGTATTCGAGGGGTTGCGACTTCAGACCGCCCAGGGCTCGCCGATTTCACAAAGATGGGGACTATATAGGCTTAATGGACCGTTCCGTGTGCCGTGACCCCACCCATATCAGGCCATCACATATGTTCCCTAATAACGCTGTAAGTTTGCCGTCTGCATTGTCATGTCACGTTGTTGGCCGCGTTCAGACATATGCAGACAGCTCTCTGGCCAATAAAACTGACGGCATTTGTTTCATGGTAGGAAATTGTATCTGATTTATCACTGCACAAACCGACCAATAGATTTATCTTACTTTCATGATTTTCTTCGAAAATTAAGTGCACGGCGCTTCCTACTACTGCTATCCGATGTCGAGCGAAATTATTCGCCAGGTGTGGGTAAGATCGCAACGCGCAGTATTTTCTTGAGCACGACAACTTCACAAAATTTTTGAATATAATCAAGCACTTTCAAAAAAATATAATCCTTTCATACGGTAGTGAATCAACTTGGTGAAGGTCATGACCTTCTCCTTAAGAGGAGGAAGTTTGCATTTTTTGTTAAAAAAAGCTGTTAGAAAGTGGAAACTAATGTCCGTCCGAGCACGACGGGAACTAACGGGACTTCAAATGGAACCCTTAAGTACGCTAGTTCTAGACGCAAGGCCTGCAAAAGTGGTGAAGAAGCATAAGACGTTTTGGGAGAAGTCAAAGATAGGGTGGAAGAAGAGCGTTCGTTGGGCGCATTCCGAGATAAATTTTTCGGTTCTTTTTCGAGTTTTTTCGGTTCTTCTTTTTGCGGCAGATTTTGAGCGCTATGTGAGCATGAGGCGAGAAATACTGACAAGGAAAGGATGGTTGGTCGAAGTGGCCATTTCAGACAAGGTGCATACACACTGATGCGTCTTCGGACGCTGATTTCAAATCTGCTTTCCATATCTGCTAAACGATTCTCTGAGAAGAGATATGCAGGAGGTTGTTGTACGGAGCACAATTGAGCTTGGTAACACAAATGAGACGTGAGTCGTCACACGAAGTGCATCGGTGGCCTAGTGGGTAGTGTGCCGCGCTCAAGTATGCGAGGTAAGAAGTTCGAATCCCTCCATGAATCGCCATTTTGCATTTTCTCAAAAATGCCTCCTGCACATCCGGAAAGCACTTCTGCGAGGCTAGGAGACCTGATTCTACCAAAAAATTTTATTTCTGATGTGATAGAGCCATTCTGGAACACTCCTAGTGGGACTCCTGATTGTTGGTTTCGGCGGCATTATTCGTTCCGTCGTGTTGTGAGGCCAAACTGATTCCAGATGGCATGGAAGCCAAAAGTGGATGTCGTGGTTGTTATCAGGACCGTCAGTAACCAACAAGGACTAAGATTTACCGAGGAACCTTCACTGCTCACAGAGATTTGAATCGGCGATAGTGCCAGCAACCTTTAGGAATTGGCTGCCTATGGTTACCCCACTGTATCGAAAATAGGTCGAAATCTCAAATTTGGTTGAAAACTTGTCTCTAGGGCTAATTTGAGCCCCAGAGCACGAATATCACACTCGTTCGGCGTAAAAACGCTTGCCAAGGACGTTGCAGGTTCCTGCACACCCTGCCCCTCCAGAATGCGTACAAGACGTTTTCACGAAATATGACTGCAGTGTTGATTTCCAGGGCACTGAAGCACCTCTAGTTTCAGATTCCAGCCAATTTGGGCAATTTGGAGCACCTCATATCATGCTGGGAATGGGTGTGACCTGGCCAAAAATCCTGCATAACTTTGTCCAGGAAGTCGTTTAGCAGATATGGAGGGCAGATTTGTAATCAGCGTCCAAGGGCCCATCGGGCAGTATACGTCTCATTTCGAATGGCCACTTCGACCAACCAATCCTTTCCCTGTGACGTATTTGGAGGAGAGACTAGATAACGAAAAAGCAGGAGAGTATACCCAATGACGGCGGGCACATGGCCAGCATCTGAGTCACCGCGGGCACCAAGCGGTCTTGAGCCAAAGTGGAGAGGGTTCGTTGCTCGGGAGTACTCTGTCGGAGCTTCAACAAGTCTAACCCGGCTAACTGGATGTTTCTCGGATTGGGGGAAATCTTCACGGAATCTCGAAAAGTGGGGTGGGGCAAGGATAGCGGGAGTGTCGGGAAAAAACTTTGAAGCATTCTGAGTGATGTGTTCGTAGCTCCGAACACACCGCTCAGAAATATATTGGATTAAACTCAGAAATAGAAGTGTCTTACCCACGGCACATCATTGTTGTGGATTTTGGTTGGTTGAGTCCGTACGACCGCCCCCCCCCTCCCCTTTCTAGGGGAATGGTACGACTACAACCTCCTTTATCACCCTTTCTTAGATTTTCCCAACTTCCTAGTAGTTTTTCCGGGAATTTCCCAAGAATTTTCCTACAACCACTTTTACAAGATGAGAACAGAAATGCAACCTCCCCCTCTCACAAGCAAAAACAAGAAAACAATAAGCGGTTCCTGAAACAAGTAAAATCAACCATCAAAAATTTTTTCACACAAATACGGACTCTCCCTCCGCCAACGATTAAACACGACCCCCTTGTTGGAAATCCCCCACCACGATCTTACCATAGTCCAGAGTTTAGTTTAACGCACACGTGATTTAGAGGGACTTTTGAAACTGTCGGCCTTCAGTATTCATTTTGAAATCGCCTCGTTACCAAGTTTTGATTGCTACTCTTGTGGAAGCTACGTATATCCAATAAATCAAATATTAGCCTAAATATAGAAGAAGTAACCCCACTCTCGAAATTATGAAATTGTCTACCATTCATTCTTTTTTAATTAATTTTCTCTGTCATCTTATGTGGAATTGTTCAGGCTTTGACAGCCCACATTCGTTCCGTGCACACAAACGTGCGACCGTACGTTTGTGAGACATGCGGGAAGGCATTCGTTCGTCGTAACGATCTGAAAATGCCACACATTGACTCATACTTCTGAGACGGCATTCCAGTAAGTGATTCTAAAACATCGAGTATAAAGTTTGCTGCTAATCAATCCTTTTTCGGGATGCCTAACGCCTTCTACTTCCATTCAGAATCATATTGAATGCAATGTGTGCGGGGACCAGCCAATGTAGAACTCAGTGTTCGTATCATCCCAGACGAATTTGGTACCAATCTGCCTTTCTCAAAGGGTAGAAGGCATGGTTGGCTTGGGTGGGAGCCAACTCAGAATTTGATCCTTGGTCCGCGCGCGTGGCAAGCGTGCCATTTGCCTATACACCATCTCCGCCTGATTAATTTTTTCCCCTTGAGAAATTATGTTTTCTTCCTGCAGAAATGGTAAACCTGATTCAGGGTTGTGGAAAATGCCGGCGAGCGGGTGAGTGACTGGATGACTTTACTGGAGTACTTGCTACACTCTTGTGCGCCCTTCTTCCTGAAGTGGTGAGATAAGGTCGGGCTAGTGTGATAGTCCGCTGTTAACGCCCATACAACAAACGCGGAATGTACCTTCGAAGGAGCCGCTAAAAAGTAGAGGATCTGAATCAGGAGACAGAAGCCCTAAAACGGACATGTTTCCCATATCCAGCTATTTTATGGTCTAAATGTGTGGTTTTTTGGCACACTCATGCAGTGTATATTAAATAAATAAATAAATAAATGTGCATTGGAATGGCGATTCCAATAAAAATTTAATGTCAAGGTTGAGGTAGTTGAAAGAGGAGGGTACCCGACGACGCGACTCGCTGTGCATTTCTGCGCTATGCGATTCAGATTCCCTGCTCGTCCCGACCAGAGTAAGCCTGGCCTTCACTCATCGCGTCCGACCTCCCAAGATAATGAACTTTCGTTTCGTTGTTTTATTGACGTGTTGTCGGTTTAGTGGCAGTCCTGGCATTTTGCGTCAGGCTTATGAGTGAGTATGAATCTTCAGTCGGCTTTTTTCGTTTATGGCCTCATTTTCTTTTAAACTTGAGCTGGAGTTGGCTTTATGGAGATTTATCTTTGAGGGAGTCGGAGCTCCTGTAGTAACAAGTGGCCCGTCCCGGGGTCAAACCCCGAGTTGGCTCCCACCGAGGCCAATAAAGCCTTCTACCTCGGTAAATTGGTACCAGATTCGTCTGGGAGGATAAAACACTGACTTGTACATCGGCTGGCCACCGCAAGTCATTGTATAGGCCACATCGCATTCAATAAGCCACTACGATTCTGAATGGAAGTAGAATGCGTGCCGCATCCCAAAAAGGGATTGATCGAAGCGAGAGCGAAAGCTTCGTCCTTTATCTTTTATGGACCATTTTGCTGCTAATTGCCTATAATTACAGTTGTGAATGTGGCAGTAAGTTCCGTCGGCTCATCTATCTCAAGAAGCACCAGCGGCTGTGTATTGCACGAAATGGTGAAGGAAATTTTGATAATGCTGAAATGCTGGATGATAGCAGTGAAGTAGTTGACGATTCTGACGATCATGACCTGTGATTCTCTCTCTCTTTGTGACTAACCGATTTTCGATA